AGAGACGAGCAGAAACACAGGGAGTGAGAGCCAGCTTTGCTGGGGTTAGGATCTTGGTGGTTCAAGCTGAGGCCCCAAGATGAGTGGATCGGAGGTGGAGCAGCACATCGCGGGCAAATATCACATCAAGAAGCGACTCGGAAAAGGGGTGAGGCTGAGGGGCGGAGGGGGGGGGGTGGGGCAAGGCGTCAGGGCTGGATGTGTGTGTTTGTGTGAGGCAGGAGTGTGTATGTCGGATGGAGAGGGTGTCAAGGGTGCATGGTGTATTGGAGGACAGGGTGGGGAGAGGTATGTTTTGAGGGCTGTCAGCAAAATGGTGTAAGGGAGCGTATTGGGGTGGTGGGTATATTGGGGGCTGGGGGGGGGGGCGTGGAGAACTGTTGGAGGTGCCGTCCTTCAGATGAGCCGTGCAACCCAGGTTTCATGTGTGGCTGTTTGGGTGGATGTTAAAGGTCCCGCGTCGCTATTGGAAAAGAGAAGGGAGTTTTGCTCTCCCGGTGTTCTGGCCAACAATCCCCCCCCGAGAAAAAAATTGGTCATTGTGGGATGTTGCTGTGTGCAATTGGGCTGCTGCATTTTGCCCACAAATCTCTTTACAGTGTATCCCATGAAGCGTTTTGCGACGTCCCAAAGAGGCGATAAGGCGCTATATCAAATGCAAGGATTATTATTATTATAATTATCATTGATCCTCAACTTCCTTCATCTCAGTAAATTGGAAGCCATTCTCCTCAGCTCCAGCCACCACCTCCCTCTTGGATCCAAGTACCTCCACCTGACTGGCTGCTCTCTCTACCTCACTGAGCCTCTGCACAACCTTGGCATCTGTCATGTCTGCTCCACCATTTCCTGAGATAATAACCCCTTGAAAAAAATTGTGGCCACGTCTGATGTGTAACTCAATACCGTTTACCTGCCATTTCTCCAATCACCCAGTACTCCCACTAGACAAGTATTTATCTATTTCCCTTTCAAACACTCTCAACAACTCCCAACAACTCAGCATTAACGGGGCTCAGAGGAAGTGAATTTCACAATCCCACAGCACTAAAGAAATGTCTGATTTCACTGCTAACAGGTGGTTAGATGATGGCCTTTTCTCATGCCAATGCCTATGAAACTTATCACTGTAGCGTGGTCATTAGTGCACTCGCCTCGCAAGCAAGAGGACCTGAGTTCGATTCAGGGCAATACCTTAGACAAGTTTTCTTACTCCACACGCCTCTGTGGTTAGTAGTTGATTATTATTATTATTATTATTATTGATCGCTTTCTGGGGATAATAATCCCTTGAAAAAAATTTGGCCACTCAATCTAGACTGTTTGTGGGACACTGCTGTGCGCAATTGGCTGTCACATTTCGCCCACAAATATACAGTCAATTCACTTTACAGTTTATTCTGTGAAGCACTTTGAGACATCTCAACGACGTGGTCAGGCGCTATATCAAATGCAAGGATTATTATTTAGAACTACAGACATTTACAGCACAGGAGAAGGCCCTTCAGCCCATCGTATGTATCTGTATTGGGTCTTTTAAAGAGTATAATCCTTTCAGTCCCATTTATTTGTCCTTTCCCACATACCCTGGCGTCATTCCTTCCTCTCTTTCACAAGCTGCCTTTGTTCTCGTCACTTTGTTATCAGATAAAAGTATTGAATTGAACTATTTTTCACCTGTTTATTCCCATTGAAGGACAAGACCTGTCAGACACTGTACTCAGCCTTGTCCCTTCATGTTCCAGGCCTATGGAATTGTGTGGAAAGCAATCGATCGCAACACAGGGGAAGTTGTGGCACTAAAGAAAATATTTGATGCCTTTAGAAACCGCACAGACGCTCAGGTACGTGGGCTGTTTATACAAGTGATGTCAATGATTAGTGTCAGCCAACAAAGCAGCTCAAATCTGGAAATGGAAAGTTCCTGTGTGTGTGTGTGTGTGTGTCCGTCCGTCCAAATGCGCGCCTTTGTGCATAGGTGTGCACATGGGTGTGCACGTGTGTGGGTATGTGTTTCCAGTGCCTCGGGACGTCTTTCTGACGTGAAAGATGCTATATAAATGTACTTTGTTGTTGCTGTGTGTTGTGTTATGTGTGTGTGTTTATCTATCTGGTGTGCGTGTGTCTATCTGGGTGTCCAGATACATGCTTACCCTGATGTGTGAATAGGTGCTGTGTCTGGGTGCGAGTGTGTGAGTGTGACTGTCTGTGATTGTGTGGGTGTGTCTGGGTGTGAGTGGGTGGGTGTGTTGGTGTGAGTATGTGAATGTGCGTGGGTGTGTCTGGGTGTGACTATGTGGGTGTGTCTGGGTCTGAGTGTGTAGGTGTGTCTGGGTGTGAGTGTGTGGGTGTGTCTGGTTATGGGTGTGAGTGTGTGGGTGTGTCTGGTTATCGGTGTGAGTGCGGGTGTGTCTGGGTGTGAGTGTGAGCAGGTGCGCCCTGAATTGTATTTGATTTTGTGTCCTCTTTTGCAGAGAACATTCCGTGAAATAATGTTCCTTCAGGTGAGCTCCTGGGACCCTCCGTGACTGGGTGGTGAGGATGGGGGGGGTGGGGGGATGAGAGTGAGGAAGGTGAGATGAGGATGGGGGGAGATGGAGACTAACGCTCTCTGTACTATGGCAGGAATTCGGGGACCATCCCAATATAATAAAACTGAAGAACGTCATTCGAGCCCAGAATGATAAGGACATCTACCTCGTCTTTGAGTACATGGGTAAGAGCCTCTGCTAAACCCCACCCCTCGCCCCACCATGTGTGTGTATGTATATCTAGGTGTGCACGTGACTATCTGGATGTCCAGATACACACATACCCAGATGTGTGAATGGGCGGCATGTGTCTGTGTGTGAGTGGATACTGCACCTGGGGTACCTACACCCCCCTCCCCCCCCACTCCCCCTGGAGAGCTCTAACCTCAGTGGGAGGCTGTAAATAAACTGAAGGCTGCAGCCTACAAGCCACTCATTCCCAGAAGCAGGACCTGCCAAGGTAACCTCAAAGCAGAGGCCTTTAAAAATGTTCTGGAAGCTTCCTCGGAGCAGTCAGAACTGCTGTGAAGTTAACTCATGACGAAGCAGGGCAGGAAGCCAGGAAGGTTATTAAGAAAATGAAATGGCATTGGTGGGTTGCTTCACTCCATCATGGAGCAAAACTACAGAATAATAATCCAAATTCTTCCACATGTCAGTGTTGGACAAATCATGTGTTCACAATAGACATGAGGGGATCCTTGGGGTCTGGAGGTGGCACCTAATCTCCATAGCGGTGACTCATTTACATGCAGGGTGATGATGCTGGAGTGTATCTGGTTTTATAGACAAACTATGTGGTTTTAGCTGGTTAGATTCTAGCAGTTGCCCTAACGTACACTCTGGGGCTCTTGCCAACCTGCGCCTAATACTGGAATTAGGTAAACAAAATGTGTCCCTCCAGGAATTGCATATTTCATTTCAGACCCGGGAATTTCCATGTCTAGGTGAGACGCATGGAATCCTCAGTTTGGTTTGGATCCGCTCAAGTATGGTGAGGGGTTTCCGCATGCGTCAGACACCCAGCCGACCAAAAGTAATGTCCATTTCCTCGGGCTCATACTTACGCTGCTCCAAGCTGTACACCTGACAGGGGTTTGTATTTCAGTGACGGATTTGCATGCAGTGATAAAGAAAGGCAATCTGCTAAAGGACATTCACATGCGATACATCATATATCAGCTGCTGAAAGCCAGCAAATACATCCACTCAGGAAATGTGATCCACCGGGACCAGAAGGTACACACCCACCCTGCGGGGGAGGGAGGGGCTGACTGCTTGTTTATGCTCTCACACCTCTAATTGATTGGATAGTCCCACTCTTTGGATTATTACATTGATTCCTCTCTCTCTGAACAAATGCAGGTTTTAGTCCTCACACGGTAGATGGCTTGTACCTACCATCCACCTGGTGAGCGCTCAAGCCCGCACTTGGCTGATGTTGAACAACCAATTAGTGACTATCCTCCTTGTGGGGAGGTAATCCGGGTCTCCTTGGAGGCTGGGAATCATCCCACTCAGCGGCTTTTAACCCTGTAAGCCAAAGCGCTAGTGGATAGGGTGGTCCTAGCTGGACAGGTAGCGGAAAAGCTTGCCAGACAGTGATATCAATAGCAAGCTATGGGGTTTTAGTTGGTTAGATTCCAGCAGTTACCCTAACGCACACTCTGCGGTCCCCAAGCCTTGGTTCTTACCAACTTACGCCTAATACTTTCCATAATTAGGTAAACAGGATGTATCCCTCCAGGGAGAGTGCGCATTCCATTCCAACAATCAATCTCTGGGATTTCCATGTTTCGGTGGGAGGCAGAGAATTCTCAGTTTGGTTTGGACAATTTTAAGCATGGTGATGGGTTTCCACATGTGCCAAAAAATTATCACAATTCATTCATTCTCTCTCTATCTCTCCACTTGTTCATTCTCTCTCTCTGTCTCTAAACTCATTTATTCTCTCTATCTGTTTATCTGCAGCCCTCGAACATCCTGCTGGACACAGATTGCTTTGTGAAGCTCTGTGACTTTGGGCTCTCGCGGTCCATCAATCAGATCCAGGAGGAGCCAGGAAACCCGGCCCTGACAGAATATGTTGCTACTCGCTGGTACCGAGCACCAGAAATCCTCCTGGCCTCCCCCAGGTGGGGACACCAAGATACCATCTTTTTATTAGGATTTTGAATCTGGCATGTGATTTGTGAAATGAATAGTCTTCACTTCTCAGAGATCCTGCCCCCCTCCCCCCCCACCCCCCCATCTACTCGAGCTAGGGTGGTGCAAGACAGTGGAGGGAGCATTTTGCCCACAAAATACACAATCATTTATCCTGTGAAGCGCTGTAAGACGTCTCAACAACATGATAAGGTGCTATATCAAAAGCAAGCATAATTATTATTATTTAAATGTGAGAATGAGGATCTTGAATTTGAGATCCCCCCCATCCTTTCAGGCCCCTTATCCCCTCCCTCCCGCAGTCTTGGGCTCCCTGCTCCCCCACCCTCGTGGACTCCCCTCCCCTACCCCCCCACCCCACTCTGTGAACCAGAGTAAAGCCTCCTCTGTCTGGCAGGTACACTAAAGGAGTGGACATGTGGAGCGTTGGCTGTATTTTAGCAGAGATGCTGATCGGAAGTCCGTTGTTCCCAGGAACCTCGTCTATCAATCAGATTGAAAGGGTCATGAGGGTGATTCCAGCACCCTCCACCGAAGGTAACTCTCAGGCTGCAAGTTCTACCTAGTCTTAGTCTGGTGACCATGTTGCCTTCAATTTGAGTAAGTAGGAACCCGGTTGTTAGTCGATTGGCGATAACGTTACAGGGGTAATAATCCCTTAAAAGCACAAACAAACAAAAAAATGTGGTCACTCAATCCATGACTGTTTATGAGACACTGCTGTGCGCAATTGGCTCGCATTTCGCCTACAAATACAGTCTTTGCAGTATATTCTGTAAAGTCCTTTGAAACGTCTCAATGACATGATAAACTGCTATATCAAATGCAAGGATTATTGTTATTGTCCACAATTTGTATTTACTCAATCTGAAGTTGAATTAGGAAACTCAGTTTCCAATTTACAGCAACATCAACATGCATTTGTACTGTGCCTTGCACGTAGGATAATCTAGGTTTACTTTTAGGAGTAATATATAGGACAGGAGAGTGGCAGAAATTCAAGAGTCGGGGACGGAGCAAGAAATTGGGATTAGATTGGAGAGCTGCAATCGGGGTTGAGCAATCTCCTGTAATATGATCAGTGCCTCAAACTGCTTCCCAACTATTTTCATCTGTTTGTTACACCCACACCATGGTGCCCCGCCTGCTACAACAACAACAGCAACAACAACAACAAGATTCCATTTATAAAGCGCCTTTCACGTCAGGAGGACGTCCCAAGGAGCTGAAACTGAGCCCTGCCCACCATGTGCAACTCAAAACCAGGGAATAAGGACCGTTGTCCTGTAGCTCAGTGGTTAGAGCACTTGCCTCTCAAGCGAGAGACCTGGGTTCAATTCCTGGCAGAGCGAAATGTTGGGCAAGTTTCCTTACTCCGTATGCCTCTGTTTACCTAACAGTAATTAGGAATCTGGTTGTTAGTTGATTGGTTGATCGCTTTTATGGGGGTAATAATTCCTTCAAAATTGGTCACTCAATCCACGACTGTTTGTGGGACACTGCTGTGCGCAATTGGCTGCCGCCCACAAAATATACAGTCAATTCACTTTACAGTATATTCTGTGAGGCACTTTGAGACGTCTCAAAGTCATGATAAGACCCTATATCAAATGCAATGATTATTATTATAAATATAAGGTAAAGAGAAGAATAAGGTAGACAGAGTTACGTTAGTCAGTATCAGATCTAATTGGCCGTAAACGGGTTTCCCTTTCTCTTATAGACGTCCTGTCAATTAACTCTGACTATGGCTGTTCTGTCGTACAGAAGATCTTGTCCGGGTATGTAATGTACTGACACAAACAAACCAAACTGCTCGCTCTGAAATAGCGGTTATATAAAGTGTCCTTTACTCTGTGTGTGTTTGTGTGTGTGTGTGTCTCTCTCTCTCTCTCGTTCAGAACCAGATCCACGCTGGACGAGCTTTTACCAAAGACAACGCCACCTGATGCTCTTGACTTGCTGAAGAAACTTCTGGTGTTTAATCCGGAGAAACGTCTGACCTCCGAGGAGGCCTTGGAACATCCCTACGTCAGCAAGTAATAACCCCCACACTGCCCCCTACGTCACAAGTAATACCCACTCTGCCCCCTACATCACTAGCAATACCCACATTCTGCCCCCTATATCACTAGTAATACCCATACTCTGCCCCTATATCATAGTAATACCCACACTTTGCCCCCACGTCACTAGTAATACCTACACTCTGCCCCCTATATCACTAGTAATATCCACTCTGCTCCCATTTCACTAGTAATACCCACACCCTGCCCCTATATCATAGTAAAATAATAATAATATTTGCATTTGATATAGCGCCTTTCACGTCGGGAGGATGTCCCAAAGTGCTTCATAGAACACACTGTAACGTGAATTGACTGTATATTTGTGGTCGAACGCGGCAGCCAATTGCACACAGCAATGTCCCACAAACAGTCGTAGATTAAAAATGACCAATTTATTATTGTTTTGGGTTTTGGAGGGATTATTATTAGGCTCTGTGTGGAGTAAGGAAACTTGCCCAAGGTTTCGCCTTCTGCCTGGAATTGAACTCAGGTCTCTCGCTTGCAAAGCGAGTGCTCTAACCACTGAGCTACAGGACTCCACGTAGTAATACCCACACTTTGCCCCCATATCACTAGGAATATCCACCCTGCCCCCTATATCACTAGTAATACCACTTTCTGCCCCTATATCACTAGTAATATCCACACTCTGGCCCCATATCACTAGTAATATTCACTCTGCCCCCATATCACTACTAATACCACACTCTGATCCTATATCACTAGTAATACCCCACACACTCTGCCCCCTATATCGCTAGTAGTATCCACACTCTGCCTCTTATATCGATTAAGCCCATAAAATACAGTCAGTCCACTTTACAGTATATCCTGTGAAGCGCTTTGAGACGTCTCAACAACATAAAGACCTATATCCAATGCAAGGATTATTATTATTAATAAATAGTCTGAATTATAGTCAATTATATCAAATCTGAGCAAATATCATCAGTCGCCACATCGCGTAGAGACACTAATAAATGGAGATTAATGTTAACTGTTTATTTTCTGCAGGGTGAAACCTTGGGCAAGTTTCCTTACTCCACACACCTGATAATAATCCCTCAAGAAAAAAAAACAATAATAAATTGGTCACTTCAATCAACGACTGTTTGTGGGACACTGCTGTACACAATTGGCTGCCGCATTTCACCCACAAATATCCAGTCAATTCACTTTACACTATATTCTGTGAAGCGCTTTGAGACCACAATAAGATTGAGACGTCTGGAAGATGTGAAAAGCGCTATATCAAATGCAAGGATTATTATTATATCACTAATAATGCCCCATAAACTCTGCCCCTATGTTAATAAGTAATAACCAATCGAGCTAGCAATCTGTGGTGGTCTCTAGTCCATTGGATACTCTTAAGCACGGTGATGGGTTTCTGTGTGTGTCAGACACCCGGCTGACCCCAAAAAAATAACTGCCTGCACTCTGACCCCTTATTAGCAAATAATATCCCTGTGCACTCTGACCCCTTTGTTTTAATATAGATCATTCTTATTATTTAATATAGATTTCATAACCCAGCAAAGGAGCCAGCACTGACCCGGGACGTGCTTCTCCCTGTGGACGATGACACACAACTGTCCGTGGCCGAATATCGGAACAAGCTCTATGAGGTGTGAAATCACTTCCACTCTCAACTTCCTGTTGTAACAACTAGTTAGCAAAGAGAACTCAAATGTTATTCTGTTCAGCCCCTCCTCAGTTCCTCTCCCGCCACCGACCTTGGGATCCCAGGCAATAGTATGAAATACTTTCAGACATTCGAAGATATTGTGTAAATGTAAATGGTTTTGTATTGTAAGGTCTTGCATTCTCGACTCTGCGTTAGAAGCTGGATTGGAGCTCCAGGTTGATCTCCAGGGGCAGTGCTGAGGGCCGGGGGAGGTAGAGGGTAGGAGCAGTGCTGTATTATCAGAGGTGCTGTGATGTGGATGGGATATAAAACTGAAGTCCTGTCAGCCTGTTTGGGTGGACTATAAGGACCCCATGGCACTATTCAAAACTACATGGGAGTTTTTGTAGTGTATTGGTTAGAGCACTCGCCTCACAAGCGAGTTTGATTCCCAGGCAGGACAAACCTTAGGCAAGTTTATTATTATTATTTTGCTGGTTTTCTAGATGGCAATCCTGCAGATTATTTCTCTTCAAGGTTCTTTCTGGGACTTTTCTGTGGACTAAATGACTAAATCTGTTTTGCTTACAATAAAAAAGAATAATAAATTGGGCACTCAATCCACGACTGTTTGTAGGACATTGCTGTGTGCATTTTGCTGCTGCGTTTCACCCACAAAATACAGTCAATTCACTTTACAGTATATTTAGTGAAGCACTTTGAGACGTCTCAACAACATGATAAAGTGCTGTTTCAAATGCAAGGATTAATATTAATGTTACTGTCAAGTGGAGCGACTGTTTTGGAGATGACCTCTACTGTGTCTTTCTGTTGTCCTTCAGATGATCCTGCAGAGGAAAACATTTCTCCGTCGCCGGAGACATGTGATGTACAAACAGCCCAGCCTGGAGTTGGCTGGCAGAGACGTGGAGCACAAAGACTCAAAGCCTGTTCTTCCCAGGTCCACAACAGCACCAGCAGCAGTGTCAGCTGCCACAGAGCCTGTTCCAGAGCCGGAGAAACCTCCACAATCCAATGGAGCCTCATATAACCCCATCACACACAGTGTGTCCACGTACACAGGCTTCCAAAGTGAGTAACTGGCAATCCTGTGATTGAATGGTTCCAAGCTCATGGGGAGTCAGGCGGTGCTAGGCTAACCTTGTTTGGGCAAAGAAACTTCATAGAGAAACTTCATGTATGGGCAAAGAAACATCCTGGCTTGTGGGAAGTAATTAACCATAATTTGGTCACTTAATCCACCACTGTTTGTGGGACAATTGGCTGCCGCATTTCGCCCACAAATATACAGTCAATTCATTTTACAGTATATTCTGTGAAGCGCTTTGAGATGTCTTCCACCACCAGCCTCCCCTCCTCTCTATAAAAATAATAATCCTTGCATTTTAATATTATTATATTTTGATATTGATATTACATCTTCTAGATGTCTCAAAGCGCTTCACAGAATATACTGTAAAGTGAATTGACTATATATTTGTGGGCGAAACACAGCAGCCAATTGCGCACAGCAGTCTCCCACAAACAGTCGTGGATTTAAGTGACCAAGTTATTATTGTTTTTTTTCTTGAGGGATTATGAGACGCCGTCCGGCATGGAGGGCGCTATATAAATCCAAGTTGTTGTTGTTATTAACAGGTGTGTGGAGTAAGGAAACTTGCCCAAGGTTTCACCCTGCCGGGACTCAAACCCAGGTCTCTTGCTTGCAAGGCGAGGGCTCCAACCACTGAGCTACAGGACTCTGTCCTCTATTCCTCTCCCTCCTCTACTTCTCCAACCTACCCCTTAATCCCTTTCTCTTCCCCACCATCCTTTCCCTTCTTGTTGATAATATTGTTCCTCTCAATCTACACACTCTCTTGACACTAACCAGAACTACACAATTCCTTCTCCTAGACGATCCGGTTAGTGGAAAGCTAACACACAGCCTCTCAGGTCCCTATCAGCAGAGAAGTTCATCGGGAAACCGGAGAGCGACTCAGCGCCCCCTGCACCATGGGACCGCCGATTTGCCCAGTGCACTCAATGTGAGTACTAATGTTGCAACCATTTGGGAGACACTCCCTTCTCTTTTCGAATTCTGTAGTGGAATCCTTAGTGTCCGCCTGAACAGGCAGATGAGACCTTGGTTAAACATCTCATCCAAAGGACAGCACTTCCAACAATATAAGCACAATCTAAGTGTCAGCTTAGACTATGTTGCACACATGTGACATGTCCTGGTAGCAATCTCACTTCTGAGTCAAGAACAACAAATTGCATTTAAATAGAGCCTTTCACGTAGGGAAGACGTCCCAAGTTAGAAGCCCCACATCCGACTTGGAATTGCATAGTCTAAGCTGACACACCAATGCAGTGCTGGAGGGTGTGTTGCATTGTCGGGGATGCCCTGCTTCGAACGAGACGTTAAACCGAGGGCCTGTTCAGGTGGATGTTAACGATCCTATGGTGCTATTTGAAAAGAGAAGGGAATTTCTCTCGCCCGGACGACAATCCCCCATATAAAATTGGCCACTCACTCCATAGCTGTTTGTGGGACACTGGTGTGTGCAATTGGCTGCCATGTTTCTCCCCCAAAATTTACAGTCACAAATATAAATTTACAGCTATATCAAATGCAAGGATTATTATTATAAAATGAGTCAACATTTTGGGTCCACGACCCTTCGTCAGAAACATTGACTCACTTTCCTTTCTCCATAGATGCTGCCTGACCTGCTGCATGTTCCCAGCGAGCTCTGTTTTTGTTTCAGATTTCCGGCATTGGCAGTATTTTGCATTTTGTTTATATTATTCCTTGCATTTTACATAGCGCCTTAACACGTCATCGAGATGTCTCAAAGCGCTTCACAGAATATATTGTAAAGTGAATTTTACAGGTCCTCTCGCTTGCGAGGCGAGTGCTCTAACCACTAAGCTACAGGACTCCGTGTGTATTTCTGGGACACTGCTGTGCACAGTTGGCTGCCGCCGTTCGCTCACAAAAATACACAGGGAGTCCTGTAGCTTAGTGGTTAGAGCACTCGCCTCGCAAGCGAGAGGACCTGGGTTCAAATCCCAGCAGGGTGAAACATTGGGCAAGTTCCCTTACTCCACACGCCTCAGTTTACCAAGTAAGAACCTGGTTGTTAGTTGATTGGCGGATCATTTTTCCGCCAATCCCTTCAAAAATAAATAAAAATAATAGTAGTTTGCTCACTCAATCTGCAACTGCTGTGCACAGTTTGCTGCCGCGTTTCACCCACAAAACATGCAGTCAATTCACTTCATAGTCTATTCTGCAAAGCACTTTGAGACGTGATATGGACGTGATATCACGTATAGAAGATGTGATATGGCGTTATATCAAGTGCAAGGATTATTATTATACGAAAGGGATCTTTTTTAAAAAAAAAGTATGAGCGTAAAGATACGATCGTTTATATTACTTTCGGCCCAGCCAAATAGAACACAGTTCAATTTGCTGGTCTATACATTCCTGTGTGTCGCTCAGAGCTTTACTTTGTCTCCTGTCTGGGCAAACAGGGCAACACGGTGGCAGACCAGCGTGGCAGCCAGGTGGGTGCTGCTGGCAGAACCCACCAGTACAAATCAATGGTGAGCAACATACTAACGCGCAAAGCAAGCACAGAACAGGGAATGGGGATGAGAGCAGCAGTGACAAGTGCGCAGCTGGTGAGTACTGAATCACCACTCGTGTACATCACAGTTGTTGTATTAGCCTCGAACATTTGTCTCAGAAACTATGCAATTTTTAATTAAAAGTTGTACAGGGGAATTTTTTTTTGCAGTTTTCATCATTTTACGCCAATGTTAATCAATACTGCCATTCAATAACTGGCACAATTTGGGGCCGTTTAGTGTGAATCTGACACTATATGTAACATAGCACGAGGTGGCCGTGTTTTTTCCCTTCTCCAAATGGTAGCTCTAAGCGAGGCCTTGAGTTTAGCAGATTATCAGACACTACAAAATTTACCCAGTTGTGTTTTACGCAGGGTAATGGGAGCAAGAGACTTGAATGAAACCAGGCCAGGGATAAACATAGGAAAGTGTAAGAGAGTTTGTGAACAAGGACAAAAACTTGCATTTACACAGCACCCTTCAGGTGGGGTGGTGTCTAGGAGCACTTAACAGTGGCGGAGATTGACAACAGCTGGGGGAGAGAGCGGAGGTGACCGTAGGTCACAGTCAAAGAGGCAGGTCTCCAGGTACAATCTGAAGACAGCTTTCCCTGGTTTGGGACTGCAGAGAGGACAAGGCGGAGAAATTAAGGCAGCGAGTTCCAAAGTTTCAGGGCATGGTGGTTGAAGGCACAACCAAAGAGAGTGGAGCGGAGGGGCTGAGGGACGTACACAAAGCCGGAGCCAGCTGAGTGAAGGGGGTCGCTGGCGGAGTGGGGTGCAAGCAGGTCGGAGAGGTAGGGAGATGGTAGGGCATGAAATGATGCTAACTGGTAATGAGGGAATGTTCCTGAGAATGTGCTTGTCTAATACATTGCAGAACTCAAGGCCACAGCCCCAACACAGGGAAAGCCGTCCCATCAGGAAGATGTTTCAAACCACTTCGAACATGGCCGGAGCCGGAGATCCCAAAGCCACGTGGGGCAGCTACTCGCAGGCTTACGGGATCATCAGTAAAACAGGCCTGGAGAATCTGCGAAATCTTCACATACAAAGCAACCCATAGACCCTCCCTCCATTTGTGTGACTGCTGATCCAAGCAACAGCCAACAGACACACCGAAAACAAGCAACTTTTGGAACAAATGGAGAGACCTCCTTTGGTGAAACGGTTGGAAAGGGTTCAATCGCCACGTCCATCTCTTTGAATCCAAGTACATTCAGACCTTTAAAGTCAAACCTCAATCCTTCACATCAACGTGATGGTAAATGTCTCTTATTCCCACCAGATGAGCATCAACTCGGAACCCATGTGTGCAAAGATGGGTGTCTCTGACCACAACTTTACAGAGAAGAGAGTATGAAGGAGTTTTGTTTTAATTTGTACATAACACAGAGATGAATGAAATGATTTTTTTAAAAAACAGCTTATTCCTGCACAAGATTAAGTTACTGGAAAGGAATGGCAGACGTGATTTCCAGACTGAACTCGTACCTTCATCTCACAAATTGTCTCATTCAGCCCTTAAGACAAAGTTCTAAGTTATCTTCTCAGAGTGGGGAATAAAGAACCAAGATTCCCACTTAGCCTGACCACTAACTTGCAGACTAAGAGGAGCTCACAAGCTACAGACTTATGTACACATTGATTATGAATGGATCCTATATATTCTCAGCCCATTTGCACCTCCCACATTCAGCAGTGACATAACAGTGTCACTGTTCATTCAACAACTTCTTCATTTATGTAGCACCCCTCACGCAGGTTAGCCTCCCAGAGCATTTTATTATTCAGCGGGTGAGGATTGCTCGCTGTTTGACCTGTCGCCTTTAATCGCCCCAAATCACTTGCCAACACATCATTGAACTTTGAGGCAAAATGCAGGCATTCCTTTCATTTATTTCTGTAACCAATCCACTGCCATCACCAACAGGACTGTTGGTGTACTGAACGTTATGGGTAATTCTTAAAAGGTTCAGCTTTGTTTACCTCCTGATATTGTTGGTCTAATGTGGGATCAGTAAATGATGCAGGAATACTTTATCTGAATATTTTTTTCATTGATTGCAAAGTATCCTGTGAAATATTAATATGGAGCACTCATTATTCACAAGACCGCCATGGCAGATATGGGAACAGTGCAGATAATAGGTCGTCATCACACAAAAATGGGAATTGATTAGAATATTGATCAAAAACTTCCATTTGGCGCTATACAGTCAGTTAACTTTACAGTATATTCTGTGAAGTGCTTTGAGATATCTAGAAGACGTGAAAAGCGCTATATCAAATGCAAGGATAATAATAATAATACTGTGTGACACTGTACCAGTCCTCTTCTCTCGCTCCCTGCCTTTGTTTCTCTCCAACTTCTCATCTGCTTCTCACTGTCTCACTCTGCCTTGGTCTCTGTCTCATTATCTCACACAGCCACTGTACTTGTAACAAATTCTAATAAACCTCATGTTGCTCCTTCAATTGCACTAAATGGATAAATCCAGTTTCAAGTGACCTCACATGAAACTACATTATTTGGCAGGATTGCACATTTACACTTGAGCTGTGGATAGTAATAATAATAATAATAATCCTTGCATTTGATATAGCGCTTTTCACGTCGGAAGGACGTCCCAAAGCGCTTCACAGAACACACTGTAAAGTGAATTGACTGTATATTTGTGGGCGAACGCGGGAGCTAATTGCGCACAGCAATGTCCCACAAACAGTCGTAGATTGAAAATGACTAATTTTATTATTGTTTTTGTTTTTTGGAGGGATTATTATTAGGCTCTGTGTGGAGTAAGGAAACTTGCCCAAGGTTTCGCCCTCTGCCTGGGATTGAACTCATGTCTCTCGCTTGCAAAGCGAGTGCTCTAACCACTGAGCTACAGGACTCCACAAAGTCCTAGTAGACATGTGAATATGCAGCATTTCTTCTGTAGTGTTTCTGTGACGACTTTAATCACTCATTCCACAATATTTTTCAATGTCTCATAATCTGACCTCCCTCTCCAGCCCCAATCGAATCAGTTTTAGAGACTGATCCCCTAAACCCTTGTTACTCCTATTCTGATATCTCACACTCCACTTTAGTTTGCTGAATCTGATTCTCTGGATTAAATGGTGTATGTGATGTTTGCACAGAGCCTTTTATGGAAATTGATTGCAAATTTACTCATTTTCCCAATCGCTTGTCAGATGAGTAACCCTATACTTGGCTAATGGGAAATAGTTGATATTTTGGGACAGTTTTGGGCAGTGCTGCGATGATATTATGATGATCCTATTCATATCCTACATATTCAACACCTGAAACTAAACAACCATTTTGAAATACTTTCAAAGTCTTTCATCTATGTTGCACCTGGGCTTTACTCTCTTATTTAGTTAGTGTTTTCCTCATGTTTGTATTGTTGCTATTCAAAAAGTTTAATTTACATTTACATTGTGTGTAATGCCTTATGTATACATTCATACAATTTTCCCTGATAATAAAAGATGGCAAATTATATTATTGATTATAAATTTCAAGTATCTAGTGGAACATGTGGGATTTGGACTCCCTCAGGCTTTTCGCAAGATGAGACACACAACTCTTGGCTAACATCAGGACATGTGAACACCCTTCGTGTTTCTTTGTACGGTACAGAAGTTAGAAGCAGCAGAATAGAGTCAGCTATCAGCATATCCCTAGTATTAGGTAGAGGGAGTCAGGGTACATCTGAAATCCATCTAGAGCAAGGGGGTATCACCTTCTAACCCACTTGCTGGCTGCACAATACTGATCATGAGCAGAAATGCAATAGGGGCAGGGGAATGAAAGACTAAGTGGCAAGGGTTGGCATCTAGGACAATATAATCCATTCACATTTTCAAGACGGGGAAAGATTGGTTAGGTAAGGGATATGGGGCAAAGGCAGGTAAATGGAGTTGAGGTACAGATCAGCCATGATCTAATAGAATGGTGGAACTGGCTCAAGGGGCTGAATGGCCTACTCCTGTTCCTATAAATCCACTGGACAAAAGGGTCTTAAACTGGAGTGAGGTGGTTTGCAGTGAACACAGGCCAACTCCAGCAGTGAATGTTTTGAATGGAGCTGCAACTAACTAAACAGCGACATCCTACCTCAAAGGGGACGACATCAATAAGTTACTCCCTGACCTATGCAACAAGCAACAAAAAGCCAGCTTTTCATGGGGGAATTGTAGTTTATTAGACAGATCTACAGATCAGAGTAGCTGGATTCATATCGCGCCTCGCTCTTCACTCTGCACAGAGCGACTGTAGGTGTTATCAAGGCCAGGGAGAGCAGCGGAAATCCAGCAGCCACTGCAGCCAGCACCTGGGAAGCAGTAACAGCACCGACACCTGTGGGGAGAGAGAGAGAGAGAGATAAAGGGTCAGGTTGTATGAGACACAGCCCCAGTCTGGCCACAGGGGGGCACTCACTTACCTTCCTCCTCAGGGTTCATCACAGCTGACCTGACTCCATCCTGTACGAACACGATGGGTCCATCAGCTGACACCAGCACACGCTCCTCCTCATCAGCACTTCTGCGCTTCTCTACCAGGAGAAACAGCCATGTTAATGCCCATTAATCTGTAAACAGTTTATGGGGTGAAAGGCCTCCTTTTCATAGGCCCCCTTTTCCTTGCACAGGATTTTGGGCCATCCATCAAATTGGACAGAAAGAAAGAATTTTGATTTGGTCAGGCGGTTGTCTGACACTTGCGGAAACCCATCACCGTGTTTAAGAGCGTCCGAACAAAGCTGAGATTTCCATTCCTCCCACTTACACATGGAAATCCTAGAGATGATTGTTGGAAAGGAATGCACTCCCTTTACCTGGAGGGACACATCCTGCTTACCTAATTCTGGAAAGTGCTACAACAACAAGATTACATTTGCATAGTGCCTTTCACATCGGGAGGACATCCCAAGGCGCTGGACAAAGTACAGCATTTCAGACTCGAGCTGGGGTTGGGGAGGGAAGGGAGGGGAGGGGAAGGGAGGTGGCTGATGGCATGGTCGAAGAGGAGGGTCGTGAGGCGAGACTTGAAGGAGGCTAAGGAGGGGGTGAGGCAGAGTGACTGGGGGATGGAATTCCGAAGGTTGGGGGCAGAGTGGCTGTATGCTCTCCAGCCAATGGTGGGGCGGGTGGGTCAGGGCACGTGGAGCAGGTCATAGCCGGCTGAGCGGAGAGAACAGGCGGGTTGGTAGGGAGTTAGGAGGTCACAGAGGTAAGGTGGGACGCGGCCATGGAGAGCTTTGTTACGTGAGGACCAGGATCTTGAACTGGATCCTCTGAAGGATCGGGAGCCAATGGAGTCGGGCGAGAGTAGAGGAGATGGGGTCACGGAATTTGGTATGGGAGAAGACATGGGCTGCAGAGTTCTGGATTATCTGCAACCTGTGGAGTGAGGAGTTGGGAAGGCTGACAAGCAGGGCATTTGCATAGTCGAGCCTGGAGGTGATGAAGGCATGAACAAGAGTTTCAGTGGCCTGAGGGGTGGGGTGGTGGCGGAGTCGGGCGATGTTACGGAGGTGAGGGAAGGCAGAGTGGGTGATGGCTTGAATGTGGGGGAGAAAAGACAGTTGAATATGGGGGAGAAAAGACAGTCGAACAAGACACCCAGGTTCCTGACTGGCTTAGTAAGTTGTAGTATGCAACAATGGAGGTTGATGTTGCCAGAGACTGAGGTACTGAGGCGCTGACGCGAGCCAATCAGGAGGGCCTCAATCTTGTTCACATTCAACTGTAGAAAATTTGCCCGTAACTTCGTCCAACTCCGCCACTACCTCACCCCTCAGGTCGCTGAAACTCTTGTTCATACCTTCATCACCTCCAGGCTCGACTATGTTAGGCGCAGGTTGGCAAGAGCCTAGGCTTGGGGACCCCAGAGTTTGCAGTGGATCACTACAAGAATATCGATCACTTTGGGAAGTACTGGATCCCAGATTGGGTTGGCTGTTTCAGGAAGAGGAGTTGTTCTTGGCTCCACATTGAACAGAAAGTTCTGCATCAGGGTTGAGGAGGGGAGCAGCATGTCACAGGTGGTGGTGGGGGTGGTAGTGGGGAGGGGTGGAAGAGGAGGGGGAATCAATGTGAAGAGATGGAAACAGCACAGGGGAAAATAAAACAGAAATACTTACTTGGACTGCAAGATTTGGAGCAGGGATCTCCCCTAGAGGTTGAGAAGACCTCAGTATTGCAGTGCAGGGAGGCCTCAAGAGCAACAGAGATGGAGACAGTTCAGCTGCAATTATCAAAGATCTAAATACTTCAAGTGACTTTATCCAACTGTAGAGTCAGAGCCAAGCTGCTGACACTCACCTACCCAGACAGAGGCTTGTCCAAGTTCCAGGCCAGGAAAACAAAAGTCTTCATTACAAAACACTTGGATGAGCCGGGAACCACAGACCAGAAGTAGCATCCACTGAGATGGGAAGGGTTTTGCAGTTGTCACTGGCATAGGGACACTTGGAGTGAGAGACAGCGAGGGGATGAGAGACCACGAGGGGATGAGAGACAGCGACGGGATGAGAGACAGCGAGCGAACTCCCCTGCAATTTCCCAACTTGATCTCAGCTCCACGTTTGTCACTGGCCAGAACGCCAGCTCCCCACCACCCCCAGAGCAGCCCTCCTTACCCATGGACCAGCACATCCCATTGAATCTGGTGTCTGGGCTGCGAGGTGGGAGTGGCCCAGCAGTGATGCAGGAGCAATACAAGGGATGGATTGTTGTGGTTCAGGACACAAATTTCCACAAACACCGGGTCCCAGAGGCGCCTCAAGATGGGGTAGTCTCTCTCCACGTACCACGTCTGGTGTCAAGGGGCAGGTGAGGAGTGGGGAGAAGCCAGGACTTGGAATCATAGTCGAAGCTGACCCTCCAATGCAATGCTGGGGCTGTGTGTTGCATTGTAGGAGGTGCCATCCTTCGGATGAGATGTTAAACCAAGATCCCAACTGCCTATTCAGGTGGATGTTAAAGATCTCAAGGCACGATTTGAAAACGGTAGGGAGTTTTGTCTGGTCTTGGCCAACAATCCCCCCCAAATAAAATTGTTTACACTCAATAGCTGTTTGTGGGACAAAATACAATCGATCCACTTTACAGCATATAATGTGAAGCACTTTGAGATGTCTCAATGACATGATAAGAAGTTATATCAAACTCAAGGATTGTTATTATTATTAATAAGTCAGGGTGTTGCCATGCATTACCTTTGGCGATTCTCAGCTGGAGATACAGAGGACCTTCCTCAGTGGAAGGCAGTAGGGGAGGATGTGTGTAAACTATTGCGGTCACTTGCATGTCAGCCTCCTGACTGCCGTTGTACCTGCACTGGACGTGGAGCCTGGAAACAAAGTGACAGAGACAGTCTTTCAATGCGGGAATGAGCAGCTCCAAGTCCAAGTGTAATAAATCTCAGTCTAACATAGAGGATACATTAACCAACCATCTTGAGAAAGTGTAATTAAATAGCATGGCTTCATGAATGCTGGCCCACACTGACCCAATTATTTCAGAAAAGAGGTAAAGTAGACAAGGTAGAGGATGTGGTGTAAATGGACTTGAAGGCCTTTGATAAAGTGGGAGGAAGAGAATCCTGGCTAAACTCTGGAGTCAGGGAAGAGGTAGAATAGATTGGGAAATGGCTGATAAATAAAGACGAAGAACGGCAGCTTCTTAGACTGGCAAGAAATTTCAAGTGCCAACGCCTACATCAATGGGTTGGCTCAATTCATGACAGTTTGTGGGACATTGCTGTGCGCAATTGGCTGCCGTGTTTCTCTCTATGGATTATTATTATTGGCTAAATAGCCCATTTCCATGTCCTATCGCCATTAGCAATGTAGTTTCGTATAGAGGAGGGAGTCATTGTGCAAACAGGCTGCTCTCATCTGAAGGAGTTATTGATCCTAGGAGCCCATTCAGTATCTGCCTGGCCGCCAACACATCGGTTACATTCACCACATACCCACCTTCCATCTGAAAGACACATTGATCAGTAATGAGCTCGCTGGGCACACACACACCCCTGTGCCCACACCCTTCGGTACATACCCGCTGCTGGGTGCCACATGCGGTGACTGGGAACTGGATTATCACAATATCTGTAAAGGAGCTTTGGGCTCCACATTCCCCTCCTTGCCCGTCTCTCAGATACACTGAGCTCAGGTTCAGGGGAAGGACAGTCACGTCCGGGGTGATCACGATAGGGAATTCACCATTCTTGGTGCAGACTCCAAGAGCAATGAGGTATTAGTGACACAGCAAATGCTAAAAACTCAAGGGATGGACAAAAATACATTCAAACCACTTTACGTATATCCTGTGAAGCATTTTGAGACATGTTGACGACCCAAGGAGCTATATGAAATGCAAGGATTGTCATCAATCGTAATAATAATAATCCTTGCATTTGATAAAGCGCTTTTCACGTCTTCTCGACGTCTCAAAGCGCTTCACAGAATATGCTGTAAAGTGAATTGACCGTATATTTGTGGGTGAAACGCGGCAGCCAATTGCGCACAGCAGCGTCCCACAAACAGTCATGGATTGAAAATGACCCATTTACTATTGTTTTGGAGGGATTATTATCAGGCGTGTGGAGTAAGGAAACTTGCCCGAGGTTTCGCCCTCTGCCTGGAATTGAACCCAGGTGTCTCGCTTGCGAGGCGAGTGCTCTAACCACTGAGCTACAGGACTCCATTGTAATAGGTTCATCAGAGACCAATGCCAGGGTGATAGACTCCAGGACAAGCTCCTCTCCCAGGGAAGAGGCTGAAGACGATTTAATGCCAGGAAGGTATAACAAGTTACATTTGTATAGCGCCTTTCACATTGGGAGGACATCAGGTTTGAATAAAGCAGGGGTTTGGGATCAAGAGGGGTGGAGGGCAGGGATAGAAGGGTAGCTGAAGGTTCGGTTGAAGAGGAGGGTCTTGAGACGTGCCTTGAAAGAAGCAAGGGAGGGAGCAAGGTGAAGGGACTGTGGAATGGAGTTCCAAAGGGTGGGGACAGAGAGGCTGAAACCCCAACCCCAACCAGTCTGGGTGCTATTAAGGGCAGCAAGTCACTCCACATAATGTTTCACAGGTGAAACCAGAACCCACAGCTCTGCTTCTGCAGGGGCTCAAGGAGCCTCGCACACACGACTGTACAGACTGGCTGCTCCAATTGTAAACCCCCTCCCCAAGAGATTCTCAGAGTCCAGTTTGGCCATCGCCTGGCGCCTGTACTCTCCTCACTGGACCTCACACTGGGGCTTTGGGACAGCTGTGAGGAGAGGTGGTTGCTGCTCATTTCAAAGTCACAACAACAACTTGCACTTATACAGCGCCCTTCATGCTGGGTAGGGTTCTGGAGCGCTTGACGGTGATGGAGTCTGACCCCAAGCCAGGGGGGAGAGGGAGTGGGGGGGGAAAGGTTACTGTAAGCACAAGCAAAAGGAAAGTCTTTAGGCAGGATTTGAAAGTGGGGAAGGAGGGGGCAAGGCGAAGGGAGTGACGGAGAGTGTTCCAGAGGTTCGGAGCATAGTGGCTGAAGGCACCGCCACCGATGATGGAGCAGAAGGGGACAAGGGATAAACAGGAGATCGGAGCCAGCCGAGCAGAGGCAGCAGGTGGTGGATTAAGCAGATCAGATAGGTAGGGTGGCGCGAGGGAATGAAGGGATTTCAACAAGCCAGTCACTCAGCCAAGCCGTAGGAATTGCTGGGAGCTGCTATCCTGGTTCTTAAGAGGCCTCACAAGTTGGAGCCAACTATGACAAGACCATGTGGTGGGCTGGGGAGTCTGGTGCCTGAGTATTCCACAATGCCACAGTATTCCCGAGGGAGGGCTCGGCTGATGGCATCAAAGAAACATAGAAGGCTATTTATTATTGGTTTAAATTTATTCCTCGACCCAACCTGAAGCCATGTCTCACCCCAGCCTGTAGCTGCTGATACAAACCATAGGTAATAATTCTTGTCTTTGAAACCAGCTCAAAAAAAAACACACCCCCCACCACCCCCTCCCCTCTCAACAAGGCTCATAACAAGGCAACAGGCTGCCAGGGCGAGGAGATGCTGACTCCACGTGGGAATGAATGAATGGATGAATTGAACTGCACTGCACTGCAGTGGATGTCAATTGGCTTGTGGTTGAGCTCCAGGCTGATTGGGAGCAGCAGATGAGTGCGGTTAAGCGGCTCCACTAGAAAGAGGCGGTTGAGGGGGCTCAGGCTGCGTTGGCTGAGATGTTCTGGGCTGTTACGATGGGGATGCCAATGCCAACTGTTGGGGGCTGGTACTGGAGCTGCTGCTGTTGCTCTCTCCTGTTGCTGGCTGCAGTCTCTTGGGCTCAGGCGCCTGACTTGTGCTCCCTGGAGTTGGGGGAGAGGAAGCCATGTGGGTTCCCAGGCATCAAAGCCACTCAGTGCATCCAGCAGGGCTGCTGTTTCCACAACTCAAAGCGAACGTGCACCTCCCAGGAGTTTGCAGGTAAGCTGCACCTTACCAGAGGAAGCTTCTCTCTTCCCTTCTGCTCCAGGGACTTTTGGAAGCAATTGTCGCAGGTGGGGACTGAACTCCAAGGGACACTCTTATCCCACACCCCGAAGCCTTAAAAACACAGATTTCTACAGATGCAGCAATGCTTCGTGTGTTTGTTTCAAACCTTTAAGGTGATTTGTAATGCCTTTAATTAGTTGTCGATTCAAATGCTGTGAATGTGCCTAAAATTCTGTAACAACTGCCCAAACGATGACTACCAATGACGTTATATATTGCAGAAGGACAATTACTGCTGTAGAATTCCTAGCAGTTCCCACCACTTTATTTGTTTTATAACTATCTGTAAACCCATGAGTTCCACATAAATGCAACTTATGCATTTCCCTGCGATTTGGAGTGTCCATTCTCTTTCCCCCTGGAAGGGAAACTATCTACCCACTATCAATCCAGTCAGGACCACCTTATTGGATAAATGCCTTGGCTTGCAGAGCTAATTGAAGCCACATGGGAAGCAATTCTAACCCCCCCCCCCACCCAGTCACCTATCTGCTCCTCCCAATCCTCCAGATAAGCCAGGCATCTGGTGGGTCAAGAATAGTACAGTTGGGTATACTGTGGACCACATGCCCTTGCCAGACTTGGATCTGATGTGTGAGAGTGCCAGCAGCGAGTGGGTGGGGATGGCCACACTGAGCTCTCTTGAGATGTTCTTGGGGGTTACAAATGGGACCAGTGTGTGTGTGTGGGGGGGCGGTGGGTATGTGTGTGAGGTTCCTTCCTAGAGAAGAGGAGCTGCTGGTGCTGGTCTCACCGTTGAAATGTTATGTGAAGTGACTTGCTGCTGCTCTTAGAAGTGCCCAGACTTTGCAATCTGGTACTTTCATGGCATTAATAATCATTACATTTGATATAGCACCTTATTGTGTCTTCCAGATGTCTCAAAGTGCTTCACTGAATAAACTGTGGGAGGGATTTTAAATGTGATTTTTCTGAAAGCTTCTAATTTTTTTAATATATGAAATATGTTTTCAATCAATAATCATATTTTTAATTGATATAGCATCTTTTATGTTGGGAAGAAGTTCTAAGACGCTAGACAGTAGAGGGTTTGCACCAAAGTGAGGCGTCCGGCGCCTCCGTGGTTAGAGCAATCGCCACGGAGGCGAAAGACCTGGGTTTGATTCTCAGCAGTGCAAAGCGTTGGGCAAGTTTCCTTACTCCACATGTCTGTTTAGCTCGCAGCAAGTAGGAACCCATTTGTTAATTGATTGGCGGATTGCTTTTCTGGGGGTAATAATCCCTTAAAAGAAAATTGAGGCTCAATCCACAACTGTTTGTTAGCCACTGCTGTGCACAATTGGCTGCCACATTTTGCCCACGAAGTATACAGTCAATTCACTTTACAGTATATTCTGAAGTACTTTGAGACTCCTCAAAGAAGTGATAAGGTGCTATATCAAATACAAGCATTATTATTATTGTAAAGTGAATTGACTGTATATTTGGTGGCTGAAATGCCTTGCATTTGATGTGATCAATTGCACACAGCAGTGTCCCACAAATAGTTGTGGATTGAATGAACAAATTATTTTTCTAAGAGATGCTTATCTCCAGGAAAGCAATCTGTCAATCGATTAACAACCAGGTTCCTAGTTACTACTAGGTTGTGTGAAGTAACAACAACAACAACAAGATTCCATTTATAGAGCGCCTTTCACGTCAGGAGGACGTCCCAAGGCGCTGCACAGTTGGGTCATGACCCGAGCAGGGGGGAAATGGTCAGGGTGAGGGAGGGAGGGAGAGAGGAGGGGAAATGGCCAGGGTGAGGGGAGGGGAGGGAGGGAGAGAGGGGGGAAATGGTCAGGGTGAGGGGAGGGAAGGGAGGGAGCGAGGAGGAGGAAGAGAGTCGAGAGGGGAGACGAAGGCACGGTCAAAGAGAAGTAAGGAAACTTGCCCAACATTTTGCCCTGCCTGGAAATTGAATCCCGGTCATTTTGCTTGCGAGGCAAGTGCTTTAATGATAAGCTACAGGACTCCACAAACCTCCACGTTAAATCTCCTGCAGTCTCCAGCTTCTTCCTTGGGAGATGAACCTTGTCTATGGGTCTGCCACCCTTGTATTTGATCTTTACTGTTGATGATGATAGTTGGTCATTGAGAGTCTCAAAGTGCTTTACGTGATGCACTGTAAAGTGGCTTGACTGTAACTTCTGTTCTCTTAGCAATGCAGGTTTAGAGTTTGCTGTGTAACTAAAGCCTCATTGCTCTTACATTCTGCACCAAGAATGGTGAAATCGAGATCACCCCAAATGTGACTGTCGCTCTCCTGAACCTGGGCTCACTGTATCTCATTGAGCTAGACACGGTCTAACAGTGAGCTGGTGATTTCAGTAAGAATGTGTCTGAACTAGGTTTTCACACCTGTTCAAACTCAGTCATTAAGGTTAAAGTGGAGCTGTCACTGCCAGAACCATAAGTAGGATAAGTGGTGCCAAGAGGTGTTTATCTTGAGCTGTTGAGAATGATCAGGGTGTCTTGTCATTGATTAATGAATGATTAATTAATTGGGTTCTGTCTGACACTATTTATTTTCTTTGCATTGCAGAGGGTAATAATCCCTCCCCCCTCAAAAAAATATGGTCACTCAATCCATGACTGTTTGTGGGACACTGCTGGGTGCAATTGGCTGCTGTGTTTTGCCCACAAATATACAGTCAATTCACTTAACAGTATATCCTGTGACGTTCATTGAGATATCTCAACTATGTGATAAGGTGCTATATCAAATGCAAGGATTATTTTTTGGTCTGGAATGGAATATCTGCTCTCTCCCTGGAGGAATGTACCATGCTTACTGAATTCTGGATAGTATTAGGCTTGGGACACCATTAAAGTTTAACCAGCAATAATGCTTTTTGCATTTGATCAAGTGCTTATCACATTGTTGAGATCTCAGAATGTTTCACAGAATATTGTAAATTGGATTGACTGTATATTTTGTGGGTGAAATGTGGCAGACCATTGTGTTCCGCAAACAGTCATGGATTTTTTTGTAAGGGATTATTACCCCCATAAAGCAATCTGCCAATTGACTAATAACCGAGTTCCTACTTACTGGTAGGTAAACAGAGGTGTGGAGTAAGGAAACTTGCCTAAGGTTTTACCCTGTCTGGGAATTGACCCGGGTTCTCTCGCTTGCAAGACAAATTCTCTAATCAATAACATCAGAGCTTGCTGTTGAAAAACCTGCCTGTCAAGCTCTTTGTACTTGTCCTGTAAAGATAGAACAACCTGTATATAATAATAATAATAATAATCCTTGCATTTGATATAGCGCTTTTCACGTCGGGAGGACGTCCCAAAGCGCTTCACAGAACACACTGTAAAGTGAATTGACTGTATATTTGTGGGCGAACGCGGCAGCCAATTGCGCACAGCAATGTCCCACAAACAGTCGTAGATAGAAAATGACCAATTTATTATTGTTTTTGGTTTTGGAGGGATTATTATTAGGCTCTGTGTGGAGTAAGGAAACTTGCCCAAGGTTTCGCCCTGCCTGGAATTGAACTCAGGTCTCTCGCTTGTAAAGCGAGTGCTCTAACCACTGAGCTACAGGACTCCACACCCGTATATCTCCTACCCGTTGGGGCTTTGGTTTACAGGGTTGAGTGACTTCAGTTATGCAAAACGGTTGGGATTGTTCTCCTTGGAACAGAGGTTAAGGAGAGATTTAATAGAGGTGTTCAGAATTATGAGGGGTTGATTGAGTAAATAAGAAGAAACTGTTTCCATTGGCTGATGTGTCTGTAACCAGAGAGCACAGATTTAAGGTAATTAGCAAAAGAACAAGAAGGGAGTTTTTTTTTAATGCAGTGAGTTGATGCGATCTGGAATGCACTGCCTGAAAAGGTGATGGAAGCAGATTCGATAATAACTATGCCATTCCCTTTTGAGATATACTTAAAGAAAAAGTGACAAGGCTATAGGGAAAGAGTGGGCATGAGGCAAATGGCCTCCTTCTGTGCTGTAGTATTCTGTGAATCTTTGAGTAGGAATCCCTAAACCCCAGACCATTTCCCAGTCCTCCAATGAGCCAGGTAGGCTGGTATGTCATTGTAATGACATGTAGTGGAGTCCTGTAGCTCAGTGGTTAGAGCACTTGCTTTGCAAGCAAGACACCTGGGTTCACTTCCAGGCAGGGCGAAACCTTGGGCAAGTTTCCTTACTCCACACGCCTAATAATAATCCCAAAAAACCCAAAACAATAATAAATTGGTCATTTTCAATCTACGACTGTTTGTAGGACATTGCTGTGCGCAATTGGCTGCCGCGTTCGCCCACAAATATACAGTCAATTCACTTTACAGTATATTCTGTGAAGCGCTTTGGGACGTCCTCCCGACGTGAAAAGCGCTATATCAAATGCAAGGATTATTATTATTGTAACTCGATTCTAACGTTCTATTCCCAAGAATGTTGAATTGGAGGCAGTTGAGCTTGGAGGAGGTGCGAATTGCATCTTTCACTCCACTTCTGCCCCCAATCACCAAGGGGGTGCCTTCCCATTAATATTAATTGTATAATTAATTATCATTAATATTATAAAAGTCATTGGAACAGGAGAAACTGAAACAGTGTTATTGCTCTTCAAATGTAATGTGCTGCACTGATTCCATGTTCCATCACCTGTTAGTCTGCACCAAGAATGGGGAATTCCTGATCGTCATCACCAAGGACGTGACTGTCCCTCATCTGAACCTGAGCTCAGTGCATCTGAAAGAGGGACAGGGAAAGGAGTGTGGAGCCAAAAAAATCTCTACAGATGTGGTGATCTTCCAGTTCCCAGTAACCGCGTGTGGCACCCAGCATCGGGTATGTACTGAAAAGTGTGGGCGCAGGGATGTGTGTGCCCAGTGAGCTCATTACTGATTAGTGTGTCTTGTAGATGAAAAGTGGGCATTTGGTGTACGAAACAGACGTGTTGGCTGCCAGGCAGATACTGAACGAACACGAGGGATCAATAACTCGAGACAGCACCTTCAGGTGAGAGCAGCCTGTTTACACTGCCTTGCTACTCACTGCGATTTACTACACTTAGACTTAGAGCTGGTCATTGCCACATCTAAAGACTCTCTCTCTGTCACTTTTTGCCCAGGCTTCACGTCCAGTGCAGGTACAATGGCAGTCAGGAGGCTGACTTGCGAGTGAACCCAATAGTTTACACACATCCTCCCCCATTGCCTGCCACTATGGAGGGTCCTCTGCATCTGCAGCTGAGAATCGCCAAAGGTAATGCATGGCAACACCCTGACTTAAAAATAATAATAATCCTTGCATTTGATATAGTGCCTTATCACATTGAGACATCTAAAGAGCTTCACAGGATGTGCTGTAAAGTGAATCGACTGTATTTTGTGGGTGAAACATGGCAACCAGTTGCACACAGCAATGTCACACAACCAGACGTGGAATGCGTGACCACTTTTTATTTAGGAGATTATTGGCCCAGAAATTAGAGAAATTCTTGCATTCTTTTCAAATAGTGCCATTGGATCTTTAACATCCACCTAAAAGGGCAGATGGGACCTCGTTTTAACATCTCATCTGAAGGACAGTGCACATATACACGCCAATGATGCATTGGGGTGCCAATTTAGACTGATTCCAAATCCCGATTTGGGTTTGAACCTGCTAACTCTGAGGTGAGCGTGCTACCACTGTGCCAGGCTAACTCACAAAATGTAAGATGGTGGAGAGTACCATAAAGGTATTAGACAAGAGCTTCTCTCAGTATCCTGGCTGAGAATCCCCATATTTTTGTGTCAGAATAGCTTGGCTCAGTCAGCAGCCCTCTGGTATCTGAGTGAAGGTTGTGGGTTCAAGCGCCACGTCTGGGACTTTGAGCTCATAGTCCAGGTTGATGCTCCAGTGCAGTGCTAGATGGAGCACTGTATTGTCAGCGATGCCATCCTTCGGAAGAGATGTTGAAGTAAGGACCCATCGGCTTGTTTGTGCAGCTGAGAATCGGCAAAGGTAACGCCCTGATTTCTCCCCTCTCCCAACCTGTCCCTTGACACTCTGCCCTTTTCAGGTCGTGGCTACCAGACGTGGTACGTGGAGAGAGACTACCCTATCTTGAGGCGCCTCCGGGACCCAGTGTTTGTGGAAGTTCGTGTCCTGAACCGCAACGATCCATCCCTTGTGCTGATACTGCATCACTGCTGGGCCACTCCCACCTCAGAGCCCAGACACCAAGTTCAGTGGGATGTGCTGGTCCATGGGTAAGGAGGGCTGCTCTGGGGGTGATGGGGAGCTGGCGTTCTAGCCAGTGACAAACGTGGAGATGAGATCAAGTTCGGGAACCGGAGGGGAGTTCTCTCTCCTCTCTCCCTCTCTTCCTCATCCCCTCGCTGTCTCTCACTCCAGGTGTCCCTATACTGGTGACAACTACAAAACCCTCCCTATCTCAGTGGACGCTACTTCTGGTCTGCGGTTTCCATCTCACCACAAGCGTTTTGTAGTGAAGACTTTCGTTTTCTTGGCCAGGAACTCAGACAAGCCTCTGTCTGGGGAGGTGAGTGTCAGCAACTTGGCTCTGACTGTACACTTAGACTTACAGCTGCTCATTGCCACATCCAACCACCGTCTCTGTAACTCTATTCCCAGTTGGTAAAGTCACTTGAAATGAACTCTCCATCTCTGCTGCTCTCCAGGTCTACCTGCACTGCAGTGCTGAGGTCTGCTCCACCTCCAGGGGAGATGCCTGCTTCACTTCCTGCAGTCCAAGTGAGTGTTTCTCTTTTATTCTCTTTTCTGAGGCCCTGACTGTTCTGGCTCTTCACAACAGTGATTGTTCTCACCCCCCACTCCACCCCTGCCTTGGGATGTCCATACCAAGCAAAACAAGCTGCTGTTACAGCATCTCCATCACAGCATCGTTGCATTTAACTGAACTCCCTGTATTATTGTGTAGTGAGTCCAGCTTCCAAATCAAGATTGAATTGATGTTTGATAGACCCAGATGCAATCTTCTTGTTGCTGCGTGGTGGCTGTTGTGCGACTGCTGCTGCTGGAGTGACTAATGTGACCGTTTCTCTTGGTAGAGAAGCGCAGAAGTGCTGATGAGGGGGAGGGTGTGCTGGTGTCGGCTGATGGACCCATCGTGTTCATACAGGATGGAGTCAAGGCAGCTGTGATGAACCCTGAGGAGGAAGGTAAATGAGTGCCCATCTTGTGGCCAAACCAGGGCTGTGTCTCACACAACCTGACCCTTTATCTCGCTCTCTCTATCCCCCCCACAGGTATTGGTGCTGTTACGGCTTCCCAGGTGCTGCCTGCGGTGGCTGCTGGTTTTTCGCTGCTCTCCCTGGCCATGATAACACTTGCAGTCGCTCTGTGCAGAGTGAAGAGGCCCCGTGAGGTGCGATATGAATCTGGCTCCTCTGATCTGTAGATCTATCTAATAAACTATAGTTGCCCTATGAAAAGCTGGCTTACTGTCTGTCCAAAATATTTTTGATTCTGTTTTTGGTCAGCCGGATGTCTAACACATGCAGAAACCCATCACCGCACTAGCTTGCCATTGATATTGCTGATAGCAATTCAAAATGTGTGTAGTGCAGGTTAGAATAACAGCAAATCATAGGTAACAATTCACTTGTGTGGCACCAATAGCCCTGATGCAATACAATGAAACTCTCCTTGTGTTGGATATAGGTAAATATAATGTTGGTTAAATTAATCCTGGCTTCTCCCCTTACCTCTGGTTCTTTCTCCTTTGTGTACTTCTCTTTACCATCTCTCCAATTTTTCCCCTTAAAATTAATAATACTTTTGATGTAGTATCTTTGAGATGTCTCAAACACTTCACAGAATATACTGTGAACTGATTCAACTATTTTGAGGGTGAAATGTAGCAGCCAATTGTGCACAGAAGTGTCTCAAACAGTTGTGGATTGAATGACCAAATAATTATTTTTTTAGCAATCGTTAACCAACTAATTAGTTTCCTACTTACTGTTAGATAAACAGAAGTGTGTTTGTGGAGTAAGGAAACTTACGTAAGGTTTCACCCTGCCTGGGAATTGAAACTGGGTCCTCATGTGCCAAGCAAGCACTCTAACCACTATGCTACAGGACTCCAAACTCACCTTATCTATCATTCCCCCACCACCACAGCACTTTCCTCCATGATATTTCTATCTTCCCTCTGCCTCATCTTGCTCCATCTCCACTGACTTCTCCTCCCACAATCTCTCCCTCCACAGTAACTTTGCCACTTGTAATGACCAACTCTCTCATCCTTGACACTGTTGCCCCATCACCTCTCACAGTCCTCCTCCCACAAGTCTCCCTTGGTACACCAGCCATCTCCACTCTCTTGTCACACATACCATCTGCTGAACACACCTGTGCTCCAATGTATACAAACTGCAGAGTGCTGGGTAGCTGCAGCTTGTGTACGGTGGAGCTGTGGATTTTAGTGAGCAGGGCATTTGGATAATAAATAATCCTAGCATTTGATATAGCACCATATCACATCCTTGAGATCTCAAAGCACTTAATCTCACCTGGATGTAATGAATGTATGAATAAGGGTGGCAGGAGCTGGGTGAGGGGTGAGATAAAACAGTGTTGAACTATATTTTGTCTCAATAAGAGTTGATTGCCTTGGAAAGATATACAAAGTGGTTTAATAGAGTATTGAATACAGATTGGTAAGATTTGAGACTACAGTTTATGCATCAAGTTCAAATTGCTTAAAAACTGCATAATTGCACCTCAAGATCACCTTTGACAAGTTTCCTGTTTGTCCAAACACCACCCTGCACATTAAGGCTTTGGCTTGCAGGGTTAATAGAACCCAAGTGGGAGGTTTCCTTTCTGCAGGCTAGACCCTGATTACCTCCATACACATACAATAATCACCCAGAGAATAGTTACTAATTGGTCATTGTGATAGACAAGTGTATGCTTGAGCTCTCACTAAGTGGATACCAGGAATTTCCTATGAGCTTCTTGCTGAGCAACACACGAATATTAAATGCACAAAATCTTTGCCATTCTGCTGCCTGCAACTCACATATCCCTGTCTATTGAAGGATGATTATAACAGAAGGTGTGAAAGTGGGGCAGAGAAGGTAAGCAGGGTTTCCTTGGGTAAGCAGGATGTGTCGCTCCAGGGAGAGAATGCATTCCATTCCAACAATCTATCTCTGGAATTTCCTTGTGAGTTGGATGCATGAAATTCTCAGTTTGGTTTGGATTCTCTTAAACATTGTGATGGGTTTCTGCGTGTGTCAGACACCAGACTGACAAAAAAAAGCCTGAGCACCAGCTGTTTCTCAGCTATTGGACAAACACCTGCCTTCACATCATGGGCAGAACTTTATAGGACAACATTACACGTTTCAGTCCTTGACCAGGACTACTTTCCTCCACCAGGTAAGCCTCAACCAGAACTCACTTATATCCTTACCCAAACACCACACCCTCAAACCAATCCTCGCCAGCTTCCACTGGTTCTGTCTGCAAAAGGATCCATGTGTAGTTAAGAGCAGTCATTGAACAGAGTGACAGCATGCCAGCTTTTCATGGGGAAGCCTTAGTTTATTAGACAGATCCACAGATCAGAGGAGCTGAATTCATACCACACCCCTCAGGGCCTCTTCACTTTGCACAGAGCAACTGTCAGTGTTAGCATAGCCAGGGAGAGCAGCGTAAAACCAGCAGCCACTGCAGGCAGCACCATGGAGGCAGCAACAGCACCAACACCTGTGAGGAGGGAGAGAGACATTGTGTGAGACACAGCCCCAGTCTGGCCACAAGAGCAGCGCTCACTTACCTTCCTCCTCAGGGTTCATCACATCTACCCTGACTCCATCCTGTATGAACACGATGGGTCCATCAGCTGATACTAGCACATGCTCCCCTTCATCAGCACTTCTGCGCTTCTCTACCAGGAGAAACAGGCACGTCAGTGCCCATAATAATAATAATCCTTGCATTTGATATAGAACGTTTCATGTCGGGAGGACGTCCCAAAGCGCTTCACAGAACACACTGTAAAGTGAATTGACTGTATATTTGTGGGCGAACGCGGCAGCCAATTGCGCACAGCAATGTCCCACACAGTCGTAGATTGAAAATGACCAATTTGTTATTGTTTTTGGTTTTGGAGGGATTATTATTAGGCTCTGTGTGGAGTAAGGAAACTTGCCCAAGGTTTCGCCCTCTGCCTGGAATTGAACTCAGGTCTCTCACTTGCAAAGCGAGTGCTCTAACCACTGAGCTACAGGACTCCACAGTATTATTATCAGCACTTCTGCGCTTCTCTACCAGGAGAAACAGGCACCTTAGTGCCCATAACAACTTATATTTGCATAGCACATTTCACATTAGGAGGACATCCCAAGGCACTAGACAGTCAGAGATTTGGACCAAAACTGGGGGTTGGGATCAGGAGGGGTGGAGGGTGAGCAATAGTGTGGTTGAAGAGGAGGATCTTGAGACAGGCCTTGAAGGAGGCAAGGGAGGGTGCAGCGAGGCAAAATAACTATAGGATGGAGTTCCAAAAAGGTGAGGGCTGTGAATTGATAGAGATAGGAACCAGCCTTGAGAAGAGTATAAAACTGAAACACTCACATGGACTGCAGGAAGTGAAGCAGGCATCTCCCCTGGAGGTGGAGCAGACCTCAGCACTGCAGTGCAGGTAGACCTGGAGAGCAACAGAGATGGAGACAGTTCAGTTCAAGTGACTTTATCCAACTGGGAATAGAGTTACAGAGACAGTGGTTAGATGTGGCAATGAGCAGCTGTAAGTCTAAGTGTACAGTCGGAGGCCAAGTTGCTGACACACACCTCCCTGGACAGAAGCTTGTGTGGGTTCCTGGCCAAGAAAACAAAAGTCTTCACTACAAAACACTTGTGATGAGCTGGGAACCGCAGACCAGAAGTAGCGACCACTGAGATGGGGAAGGTTTTGTAGCTGTCACCGGTATAGGGACACCTGGAGTGAGAGACAGCGAGGGAATAAGGGATAGAGCAGAGGGAGAAAGAGAACAAGAACTCCCCTCCGGTTCCCGAACTTGATCTCATCTCCACATTTGTCACTGGTCAGAAAGCCAGCTCTCTTGTCTAATACTTTTATGCTACTCTCCACCATCTTACATTCTTATATTTTCTGCGTCAGCCTGGCACAGTGGTAGCACTCTCGCCTCAGAGTTAGCAGGTTCAAACCCAAATCGGGATTTGGAATCAGTCTAAATCGGCACTCCAATACATCTTTGGTGTGTGTGTGTGTGCGCTGTCCTTCGGATGAGACTTAAAACCAAGGTCCCATCTGCAAGAATTTCTCCTAACTTCCGGGCCAACAATTTCCTAATTAAAAAGTGGTCACGCATTTCATGTCTGGTTCTGTGACATTGCTGTGTGCAACTGGTTGCCATGTTTTACCCACAAAATACAGTCGATTCACTTTACAGCACATCCTGTGAAGCTCTTTGAGATGTCTCGATGTGATAAGGCACTATATCAAATGCAAGGATTATTATTATTTTTAAGTCAGGGTGTTGCCATGCATTACCTTTGGCGATTCTCAGCTGCAGATGCAGAGGACCCTCCATAGTGGCAGGCAATGGGGGAGGATGTGTGTAAACTATTGGGTTCACTCGCAAGTCAGCCTCCTGACTGCCATTGTACCTGCACTGGACGTGAAGCCTGGGCAAAAAGTGACAGAGAGAGAGTCTTTAGATGTGGCAATGACCAGCTCTAAGTCTAAGTGTAGTAAATCGCAGTGAGTAGCAAGGCAGTGTAAACAGGCTGCTCTCACCTGAAGGTGCTGTCTCGAGTTATTGATCCCTCGTGTTCGTTCAGTATCTGCCTGGCAGCCAACACGTCTGTTTCGTACACCAAATGCCCACTTTTCATCTACAAGACACACTAATCAGTAATGAGCTCACTGGGCACACACACCCCTGCGCCCACACTTTTCAGTACATACCCGATGCTGGGTGCCACACGCGGTTACTGGGAACTGGAAGATCACCACATCTGTAGAGATGCTTTTGGCTCCACACTCCTTTCCTTGTCCCTCTTTCAGATGCACTGAGCTCAGGTTCAGATGAGGGACAGTCACGTCCTTGGTGATGACGATCAGGAATTCCCCATTCTTGGTGCAGACTAACAGGTGATGGAACATGGAATCAGTGCAGCACATTACATTTGAAGAGCAATAATGTTGTTTCAGTTACTCCTGTTCCAATGACTTTTATAATATTAATGATAATTAATTATATAATTAATATTAATGGGAAGGCATCCCCTTGGTGATTGGGGGCAGAAGTGGAGTGAAAGATGCAATTCGCACCTCCTCCAAGCTCAACTGCCTCCAATTCAACATTCTTGGGAATAGAACATTAGAATCAAGTCATTACTCTGTGGAGTAAGTCAGTC